CGAAATCTATGCCGAAAGAAAGCGTTAGTCTGCTGCAGCAGTGCGGCTATGCATGAACTTGAACTTGAACATGAAAAAGTTGAACTGAACTGATATTACTATGATCTTGATCTTATCTTGATTAGAAATAGATTATATTTTAATATAATATAATCTTTTTCTTTTCTTGCTTCGATCTGATCATAAATATAATTTCGTTGCTGCGGTGATTCAGCAGCAGCTCACTCTATAGCCTGTCTGCCTCTGGTTGCCAACGCACGAAACTGCTTCAATCATTTCTCTTCCCGTCGCTTTCGTCTTTCTTTCTCCACACAAATTTAAATTCAAATACACAATATACTCAGTGCGGCTACGAACATTACACCAAAATATAAAACCTATACAGCTAGCGGGGAGGACAGGAGTAGAGTTGTTATTAGTTAGGAGATACGAACTCTTTTATTTATTTCGATAGAAAAGGGAGAAAGTTTACGTTTCGGTTTTTTAAGTATTTTCTTGAGCTTACGGGGTGTATGTACACCGCAACTGATGCAACTCAGTTCAAGTTGCGTGGCGTGTGAAGACGCTACGCTACAGAATAACGTTTATTTATTGCATTTAGAGGAATGNGTTCAAGTTGCGTGGCGTGTGAAGACGCTACGCTACAGAATAACGTTTATTTATTGCATTTAGAGGAATGAAATAAATAAATATGTGTTTATTGTTGTAGAAAATTAATTTATTTCTGTTTTTTTATCATATGTTAATCTCCCTCTTATATACTACTACCAGGGTTATGCATACAAGTTCAGGAGAGGATAGGTAAGCCCTAAACCCCAACCCTAAACCCTAACTGAGCGTATAAAGTATCATCAAATCCCTTTTCTCGGGGGGAAACATAATAAGAGTTTTAAATATATAAATATATTCAAAAAAAAACAAAAAAAAACGACAACAAAGACAGCATTGCTACAAGCCAACGAGCAAGGAGGGGTGAGGAAAGACGGCGCGTGTTCTATACCGGGGTGCTGGGGTGTATTGGCTAAACTTATAGTATTTTATATTATATTTTACGGGGATAATGTTATTTTTTATTAATTTATGAATATTAATTAAAATTAAATCAAAAAAACACCAAAAATATACAAAAAAAAACACAAGACGACAGAAGGAGAGACGGCAGCAACCGAGCATTTCGGCGGCGGTGTGTCGGTACACCGCAGGTGGTGTTTTTTTTTTGTTTTTTTTTTGTTTTTTTTGCACTATATTGTATTTAATTAGAGAATATAGATGAAAAAACAAACATAAATAACATTATTATCATTATAGAAATAAATAAACACAGCTAAGTGTACACCGACAGCAGCAGCCTGTATACAACTGCAGCAGAGACAGAAGCCTGAGGGGTGCGAGCTACGGTGTTTGTTCGAGTGTATAGGCAGCTATTGTCTTTGTTTGTGATTAAAATAAATTAAAACTACAAATACCAAACCCAGAAGAATACCGCTTTCTTATTCCTCCTCCCCTGCCGCCGAAGGAGTCCTTCTGTATAGCATAGCTGAGGTGAGAAGTTCTGCTGCTGCTGCTGCTGCTGCTGCTGCTGCTGCTGCTGTTGCTGC